CCTGCTCTTGAGCGCCTCGAGCTGCGCATGGACGTCGGCAAACACCTGCTGCCTTTCGCCCACGCTCTTGGAGACATCCCCCGCGCCACGCAGACGCTCCAGTTCCGCCTCGAGCTCGGCGATACGCTCCTGCGCCTGCTGCAGCCTCTGCGCCAGCGTGAGGTGCGCCACGCCCGCACTGTCGAGCTGCTGCAGTTTAGCGTCGATGGATGCATTGGCTTCGTCCAGCGCGCCTTCGAGGTACACGATCCGCTCGACAACGTTCGCCGCACCGAGCGTCGACTCGTTGTACAGCCACGAGGCCTCGCTGAGTGGTCCCGGCGAGCGCGGTGTGCGCATCGCCGAGACGTTGCGCAGGCTCATCACCGATTTAGGCAGCGGCGACGAGCCCACCGGCGTGGAGGGCTGCGCGTCGGTCCTGGAGATATTGGCGAGGTTGGTGCCCACGCCACGACTGATCATCTCGCGATACTGCTGGACACGCTGTTCGAGCTCGATCTTGTGCTGTTCGAGCATCTGCACTCGCTCGTCTTGCGACGATGCACGCTCGCGCTGTGCTTCCAGCTCGGCGATGTGGGCCTGGGCTTCCTCTAGCTCTTGGCGCAGAGCATCGTAGTCGTCGGAGCTGGTGTGCGCGTCGGGGGCTTTGGAGAGCTGTGCGTTGGCCGCATTGAGCCTGCGCTCCAGACCGCGTACACGCACCGAATCGGCGCGGGCCTGCTCGCGCAGCGCCTCGATCTCGCCCTCGACGCGACGCACTTGGGCATCCTTGGCTTCCATCTCGCTGACCAGCTGCTCCTTGTCCGCCTCGAGTTCACCGATGCGCGTCTGAAGCGCCTCGATCTCATCCGCGGATGGCGTGGCGTCGGTGCGTGCAGGGGTGGCATCGTTGAGCTGCGCTTCGAGCGACTGGATGCGCTCCAGCGCCTGGTCTCGCTCAGCCTCGATGCGGTCGAGCGTCTGAAAGGAGAAGGCTTTGGCCTGCTGCACTTGTTCCTCCATCTGCACTCTCTCTCGCTCCAGCCTCGCCTCTAGCTCGTCCATGTCTTCCTGCCTCTCTTTGAGCTCCGCCTTGAGTTCGTCGATCTCCTCGCGCAGTTGCTCCTCGTTGTCGCTGGGGTTATCTTGCGAGTGTGCAGCTGAGCTCTTGAGCGCCTCGATCTCCCTCTCCTTGTCATCGACGAGATCGGCGAGCTGCTGTGCTTCTTCGTCCAGCGCATCTGCACGCTGCTTTTCCTGCTGCAACTCGTTGCGCACCTGCTCCAGCATCTCACCGTCTGCCTGGCCCGTCGCCTGTTCGAACGCAGCTAGCTTTGCGAGGAGCTGATCGTGCTCCTTCTTGAGCTCGGTGTTTTCTGCATCGAGACGCGCATTGAGCTTGCTCTGGTAGAGCGCGAGTTTTGCGGCGTCGACACGCGGGCGTGCGACCGAGTTGGCTTCGGTCCCGGCTTCTGCGGCTCCAAGGCCGGGGAAGGAGGTGTTGGCGCGCAAGCCCATGGCGCTATGCTTGGACGCATTGGGCGCGAGCGCGAGATCGTTGGACGAAGCCTCGGAGTAGGTGGCCGAACCGACGGCACTTGCATCGTCGGCATCGGGCACCGGCTCGCTGGCTGCGCGAAGGAGGGGGCTTTGCACAGCACTCGAGTTGGTGCTCGAATCCATGAGCGCTCCACGTCTCAGCAGTGCAGCCGCGCCTCCTTTGGGCAGAGGCGTTCGACCAGCCGCAATGGTGTTGGCTCGACCCAGACGGTCCATTCGACGGCTCGGGGGTGCAGCGGACGATGGTGCAGCCGAGTCAGGGGTGGTGGCAGTCGGCTCGGAGCGCGAAGTGGGGGTCTGATGCAGCTGTGCCTGTGCTTTGAGCCGCTCGAGCGCCTCGAGATGGGCGTCGGACGATCTGCCGGTGCGAAGGCGTGTGCTATCGGTGGCTTTGACGCTGTTGAGGAGGTACTGCTTCATGCGCGCGCGTTCCTCCGAGTCGGGCGCCTGCTTGGGCGTAGCAAAGTTGGAGGTGGCCTGTCGGACTGGCGTGCTGGCAGCCGAGTCGGCTTGTGCGTTGCGGGAAGCGGCGCCGAGGCCTTGGCGCACCAGCCTGGCTGCGGCGGGGCTGGAGTGGGTGGTGGCTGTATATTCGGTCTCGGGAGCCGAAGGGGCGGGCGTTGGTTCTGGCTCGGCAGCCTGCGAGGATGCCGCCGTTGGTGCGTCTTGGGTGGCACGAGTGTCGTCGTCGTCATCGACAGCGGATTCGTCGAGCTGGACGAGGCGCCTACGCTGAGCGCGGCGCTTGTGCCAGTCGATGGCTTCGCTCGCGGCCGGAGAATGTTCGAGCGGCTTGGAGGAGGATGATGATGGCGCATCGTATACGACCAAGTCGTGGCCGTCGAGCTGATGGGGATGAGGCTGGGGAGCACTCGAGGTGTTGTGGATGCGGTCAGTGTGGGCATCGGTTGCATCCTCGGGCGCGATGGAGGATTCAGTGAGGTCGTCGAGGAGCGCGGAAGCGGAGCGGGAGGAGCGAGCGGCGCGAGACGCCGCCGAGGTCTTTGTGGTGTCGTCGTAGCGCTGAGTCGAGGCGGCTTCTGCGAGCGGACGGGCGGTCATGGTTCGCGACCTGGAGCCGACGGTGGAGGCAGCGCCGACGGTGCGGTGCGGGGTGGAGGTGAGTGGAGGGGATGTGCTCCTGACGTGCGTGTACGGATCCGGAAAGTGGGCCGAGTGAGGCGAGTCGGAGACGCTAGATGTTGATGAGGAGGCCGAGATGGGATGGTGGTGCTCTTGGGATGGTTGTGTGGACGCGTTGTGCACGGCCGCTGCGAGGGTGACTGGGAGCGTTGTGGCGAGGGGCCTGTCGAGGCGGGTGTGCTTTGCAGGTGTGGACGCGTCGGAGGAGTCGGATGGCCTCGAGAAGGAGGAGTTGTGCCTGTTGGACGGCGCGAGGGGAGTCCTTGAGATGGAGGCGCTGATGTCGCGGGTATCGCCACCGGGGAGGGAGAGGTCGAACTCGGACTGCTCCTGCATGAGGTCCTGCGCGATCTGGCGCTCGAGGCGCGCTGGTGTGCCAAAGTGAAGGTCCATTGTGTGGATGAGATGGTGGATGGAAGGGATCAAGGCGAGGGTCGCACCGGATCGCGGTTGAATGCCGTCGGTTCCACCTTTTTTTTTGGCCGTGCGGGGGAGCAATGCGCGGTTTGGGCAGAGAGAGTGTTTGCAGCAAAGACCAACACGCTCCCTCCCAACACCCGCATGGTCAAAGGCGAGGCGACGCGCTTTTTCGCGAACGGGTCACGTTTCGAAAAGGGTGGAACGTGTTAAAGTGCGTGTCGTGGCGATCCGAGCCCGATGCGAGATTTCCCGATATGGACAGTGGACGGAAGAAGCGACCCAAAAAAAAGAGCGCGTCGCCGGGTTCCCGAACGCCTTGCCGAGCGGGGGAGCGAGCGAGCGATCCTCTCAGTATCAAAGCCGACCGAACGTTCCAACTCTCGCCTCGGCGTCTGGTCACAAAGCCGAGATGAAGGTGCTTTCCGCTTGGTTGCGTGCGTGATGGACGGAGCGAACCGGTCCGAAGATGCGAACGAATGTCTCGGGTTTGGTCGAAGCGAGAGTGTTTGTTCGTTGGGATCGTCGCCGAGAGAGTGGGGTTGGGCAGGACAAGCATCGTTTGGTATCGCCAGTGTTGATTGTGACAGCGAGTGCGAGTCGATACAGTAGTGTGGGACCAGGAGGCGCGCACGGATTTCCGCCAACCCGAGGCGAGACGAGACGAGACGAGACGAGACGAGACGAGATGTGAAGCGGCGAGACGCGATGATGCTAGACAACCAGACGAGGCAGTTGCTATCCACCGAGAGCGGACAGGCGGGCGGGCGGGAAGCGCTGTCGCCGGGAATCCGATTGGAAGTTGCAGCTGCCACCAAAAAAGAAAGAGAGGCGAGATGAGCGTGGGCTGCATGCACTTCCAGGCTGCACGTCAGATTCAGGCGCCGCAGCTGCATATCTTTCCTGACCGCAAAATCACTCAGAGGGGGATCAGCCGCGGAATGCGTTTTTCTAAACTGCCCCACGCGCTGCTGCTGCTGCTGCTGCTGCTG